AAAATGGGTTTTTGAAGGGATATATTTTTGTTTTTGTGTTTTGCTAGGCACATGTTGTGGTGGTACTTTAAAAAAGTGAAGAATGTATTTGTAATGTGTTGTCTTCCTCAAATACCCTTTTCAGTTTACTTATAGTCTTTCTTTGGAGTAAATGGATTTTTTTTTAAAAAGGAAGCAGTAAGGCATTTCCATCTTTTTTAGTAATATTAGCCAACAACTGTCAAGTAACTAGAGGACAAAGAGGTTAGCTTCTCCTCAAGATTTTTTCTAAAAAAATTGAAGGTTGTTTTTCTTTTGAGGGGAAAGGGTATGAGTCATTCATCTATCAGCCAGCCTCTTAGGGTGAGAGTGTGTGTGTGTGTGTGTGTGTGTGTGTGTGTGTGTGTGTGAATTGTTTGAATTGTAACATGGTGCAACATGAGCATAGTCACTACTATCCTGCAGAGTGACTATCACCTTTTGATGATGCAGAAAGAGCTTTTTCCTGAAAATGAACTTTAAAGTTTCTCAAATAGCTAGTTAACATCTGTGTTAGAGAAGGTCACCATTTGGAAGCTTTATGAATACAATTGCCATCTCTGTAGGTCAAGGTTAATAGTAAAGGTTGTGATGTAACCAGCATTTATTAAAAGCACACATCTCAATTTAAGTTTTTTAAAAATATAATTGCATTAAAAAATTAACTGCCTATTTAAATGTTAAATAAACTACATTAAGAAATTCTCCTTATATAATTTCTATATTTGAGTCCTTGAAATCTTACTAAAGCTTCATGAATGGTTATCAAGAGATCACTATCCTCAAATATTATATGGGTTATCTTAAAATGAACAAAATTATTATTGGTCTCTGGGATCAGATAAATTAAACTATGATTTTATATAACTATAAACATAAAAGTAAAAACACCTATGGTTTACAACTTTGGCCCAACTATAAAGTCCAGATGAATCTATAAAGTAGAAATAAACAACAAAACCAGCACAATTCTAACTAACATTAATTTTAATGTGAGACGTGATGTTTTGCCAAAACGAAATTGCCTTTTGCAGTACGTCAATGAGTTGACCACAGGCGCCTGGGTTCTTTAACTCTCAGCATGCCTATAGTCTCCCACCTGTTCTCTATTTGAACTAGTGTACAGTCTATTTGTGCAGCACCCTCTAACGGCTCTTGAAGTGAATGCATCATTTGCAGATTAAATCACTTTATATTCTTTTTTTATTAGCCTTCTAGAAAAATGTTTGATTAAGAGCATTGGATTTTGCACATGATATAGTTATATCATGTTTGGCAAGTTATGTACCTTCTGTGATCCTTAGGTTTCTCATCTGTAAAATGATGATAAAAACAGTACCTCAGTTTGTGGTATAGAACAAGTAAGTGCTTGGTACAAACTTGGCACCCAGGTGTTTTGTCATTTGGCATCCACTTGATTTTAAATTCACACGTGGTCCCTGAAGCTGCATGGGTGACTTGTTTGTGAGTGGGTCTTCCGCAGCAGTTCTGCCATAGAGCTTTGAGCAGTGATGAAAATGTTGTCTTGCTGTCCTTTACAGTAGGCATTCTCCACATGTGGCTGTTGTCCACTTGAAATGTGACTACTGTATCTGAGGAACTGAATTTTACATTTTATTTAATTTCAATTTATCTATATATATCTATATATCTATATCTATATCTATATCTAGCTATCTATCTATCTATCTATCTATCTATGAAAGCCAAGCGACTGGAACGACCAGAAAGACCCGTCGCTATGATGTGCACTGTGGCAGCCAACTGGCCCAACTGGAGCCTTGATCAGCGCCCCCAACACTGATGGGGGGTGGGACCAGCTGGCCAGATCTCACCTGTGAACGAATTCGTGCACCGGGCCTCTAGTTTAAATATAAATATCGATGGTTATGGATTACCATATAGATAGCACAGATCTAGATTATATTGTGTAGATGTTATATTATCAAACTGAGAACAAAATGTAAAATGTCTCAAAAACTCAGGCATACCTGAGAATATGTCAGTGGGCCACAGTTTTGGAACCTTCAGTAAACCTGTGGTGACTTGGCAGTTGTTTCTCTTCTGCTTTCCTTCCCTTCGTTCTGATGGCTGTTTACATCCCTCCCAGGAATTAACCTTTCAGCATTTTGTTTATCCCAGGCCATCCTGAAGCTCTTGACCACTGGAAGATTATTTAAAGGCATTTCATCAGGCACTGTCGGGGCCTCTTTATGAAATCTACTTATTCTAAGCTAGCATCTCCTACCAAAATTGATATTTACATTTTCCAAACCACTCAAAGATATGTATGCAGGAACATGCACTCATTAATGTCCACCACTCTACAGTTATCTTCAGACAATTTTGAAAGGAGCTGATCTCTTCTACCTGATGTCTTGAGGAAGGTTTTATTTTAAAGGAAGAAATGCCTTGTAAACAGTAGATACTCATGAAATGTTTTAAAATGAAGTAGTAGCCTATGTAAATATGCTTAGTATGGGCCGGTTTGGCTCAGTGCATATGCTTAGTATGTGTGTAAACTGCTTACTTTGTTCTAGTTATATTGCTCTTAGTGGTTCAAAGTAGACACCAACCTGGGTTTATATATGTGTCTCTTTGAATGACTTACGTTTAGTCATTATCTTTTTGCTATTAATCTTTTTGGGGTGTTATTTCACCTAAAACTCCCTTCTCTTGTATTGCATCAGTCCATAATGTCCAAGTAATAAAACCAGATAGGAACTATCTGAATAAATTAACTGCTGAGCTTCCATTTTCAAATAACTGTCCTTGGTTGTAGAGGTTTAAGGAGAGAATACTATCCTAGGAAAAGGAGGCATTCCAAAGAAATGGGTAAGGTTTTCAGAATGTCGGTTACTAGAACAAGAACCTTAGACTGACTGACTTATTATTTTCTTTTTTTAATCCTCACTGGAGGATATTTTTCCCATTGAATTTTTTAAAGAGAGTAAGGGGGTGGAGGGAGAGAGCGGGGGGGGGAGAGAAATATCGATGTGAGAGAGACACATCGATTGGTGGCCTCCCACATGTGCCCCAACCAGGGCTGGGGATGGGAATCAAACTCTTTGGTCTGCAGGCCAACCACAGCTCTATCCACTGAGAACAACCAGCCAGAGCCTGACTTATTATTTTAATTACTTGACTTTTACTTTTCTACTTGGGGAATAAATTCAGAATTGGTGGAATTTAGGCCATGGGTTATTTTGGTGGTATATCCAATCCTCACTTC